GGTCCAAGAAGAAATAGCGGCCATAGCCGCAGAGCTCGGAACACGGAGGAGAGAGGGGAGAGAAGCAGGAAGGAGGAAGGAGGGAAAACGAAGTCGAAGACAAACATAGCCGGGGGTGTACAAAAAAGAAAAAAGAGAAATAATGAGGAAGAAGAAAGGTGATAGGAGGAAGAGAAGGGAGATTGGCAAGGAAGAAGGTGCCGGCAGCCATAGCCGACTTGAGGGTTAACCGGGCGTTGGCCAAAGGGTTGACCAGAGCGTTGACCGGGGTTTGACCGCGTTGACCAAGGCGTCGACCGGAGCTGCTGACCACGATTTTGACCAAGCTGGAGTTGGTATAATCTCGTCGAGCCCTCAGCCTATCCCCTCGCCCTATGGATGTGCACTCACCCTATGGTACTTGCTGAGTTTGAGTCTGTTTGTCTCTTCTTTCTGCATTGAGTCTCTTCTGTCCAGGTGATAGGACTCCGTGTATGAAGGATAGGGCTTCGTTGACCAAACCCCTGCCGGCAGAGTAGGGCTAAAGACTGTGTCTGACGACTCGACTGTCCCGGAGGCCTAACCCTCTCAAGGACCGGTACTGACCGGCGGGCTGCTCGGTGTGGCACGGTAGGCCCGAAATCTGAGCTGTGGGCTGCACAACGGGCCGTCTACGTTTTGAGAGAACCTGCTGATCGCGTCGTCCTGTCTGCCCCGTTAAAGAATTCTTGAGGAGTTACGGGGAATCTCCTTAAATACCTCCTGATCAGCAACAAGTTTTGTAGTGACGGCTGTAGTTTAGAGTCTAGGCTAGTGCCCCTAGTTGACAGGGTCTGAACCAAAGTGAAAGCCAGGTGGGTTTGACCGCAGGTGCTGGGCATCTGGGTCTGGATTGCAAGGACTGTGGTTGGGAAAGCTTTCGTCGGCCGTGGTAATTTGGCTGGAACGAAGGGAAATATTTTGTAGTCCATAGAGAGTCAGTCAGTCTTAAGTTAAGTAGGGGGGACGTCTAAGTGGTGAGGAGTGGAACCGTTACTTGGTTGTGCATCTATCACCATGGTTAACACGCGTACCGGAAAGAGCACTTCCCCTTACGCAGCCCAAGAGGAGGCAAAGGCCGCCGCCATCCTCAAAGAGAAGAGAGAGAAGAAGGAGGCCAAGAAGAAGGCCTTGATAGAAGAACAGGCGGCGAAGTTGAAGAGGATTGAGGAGGAGATGGCCAGAGAGAAGGAGAGATTAAAGAAAGAAGAAGAAAAAAAACTCAAGGCGGTGGAAGAGGTAGAAGAAGAGCCACTGGAGAGGAGAAGAAGAGAACAAAGAGGGGAATCCAGTGGGACCAAAGATGACCAGTTAGAGAAAAAGATCACAGAGTGGGTGGCGAATTTATCTCTGGGAGAAGAAGAAGAAGCGTTAATGTATGTATCCAGGGAAGAGCAGGAGGCGGCCGTGAAGGAGTGGGAGGCGGAAGAAGATCCACTCAAGCGTCAGGCCATGGAGGATGAGACGAGGATGGAGTGGAAGCTACGGCTCATGAGGGAGAGAAAAAGGAGAATGGAAGCGGTGAGCCAGGTGGCAAAGGAGTTGGAGGAAGTAAAAAAGCAGAAAGACCAGATGGCGGTACAGGTGGACCTCCTGGGTAAAATGGAAATCATGGCGAGGAATATCGAACGCCTGACAGCGGCTCAGGAAGAGCAATATCAGTTTATTAGTCAGGACATTGCCCTGCGTTCGATACGATTGGGATTCAGGGAATTTGCGCGCGAGTTAGTGGTGCAGGTGGGATCAGAAGTGAAAGCCCGCCTAGACAGCACAAAGCGCTATTGCACGGGTGCCATAGAGGGCGCCAAACTGGCCGCTCCCAAGGAGGAGGAAGTACGCCCTCGTAGGGAGCCTGTCAAAGTCAAATTCCCCGATTCCTATAGTGGGAAGAAGGAAGAAAACTTTGACAATTGGGAAGCCAATATTAAGACCTATGTGCATCTGCAAAAGGTCTCCCCAGATGAGCATGTGCTAGTCGCGATTCACGCGCTAAAGGAGGAAGCTGCCAATTTTGCCCGTTCCCTCGTTCGCGCTGCAAATTGCAACGAGGATGTAGTCGCCTACTCTGCGTTCACCCCCCTCGCTGATTTCCTTAAGTTATTGCGCGAACGATTCGCAGATGTTTCACGCAGTGTTAAAGCCTCAGATAGGTTGCAGACTATCCACTCTCGCCAGTGGAAGAGTGCCAGGGCACTCAAGGGGGTAATGGACGAGTTAGTGGTTGTTCCTGACCATGGGGTCACGGAAACCCAACTGGTCAATCTCTTCTACCGGCCTATGCCCGAATCGTTACGCGGGCTTTTATTTGAGAAGAGCCAGCAACCTACCATGACCTATGACGCATTGAGCAGGGAAGTGGTAGCTTTTGAAGCACGGTCCATGTCAGTCTCCACTTTCTGGCACAAGGACCTTGACAAAGGGAAGAAGTGGAAGGGTCACACTATCCCTGGGCAGATCAAGACCAAGGACCGTCTTCTCCTTACGTTAGATGAAGGTAGTGTGGAGGAAGTCCCCTACGATCAGATAGAGTGGGGGCTAGAGGAGGAGGAGGGCATGAGCGCTAGTCAGGGGAGGACTTACGCTGTTGTCGCGACCGAAGGGAGGCCACAAGGAAGAGGAGGAGGCCAGGGCCAAGGGGGCCGGGCCTCAGGTGGCCGTTTCCAGGGCGATCAGGGGGTTGGCGGTAGAGGAGGAAACCGCCAAGCGGGAGGAAGGGGTCAAGGTCCCCAGCAACACCGTTCAGGTAACCGTTCAACTAATAGGGGTAATAGGTCACCCTACAGGAGAGGTGGTTGGCACCCAGGTTTGCCGCAGGGGCGGCCTTGGGAGGATTTGGGTCTGGACCAGCGCGTCTGGCAGCAACGTGTGGATCAGGGGCAGTGCGTATTTTGCGGTGACCCTGGCCACATCATTCGATTTTGTCCGAAGTATAGAGAGGCCCGATGGGCTTCCCAACAGGCAAAAGGCAGCCGCCGGTAGGGGTTGCAACTGCCCCTACCATAAGGCCATGTGGGGAAAGAGCGCGAGCCGGCAAGAAACTCCCACACCAGATGAGCCTATGGCAGAGGTTGCAGGCCGGTGCCTAGATGGCTCTCCAGAGACTGCTTGTGTTAGAGTCTCTTTAGGCACTTCCCTCACAGGCATGGCTGATGAGCTGAAGGAGAGAATGCCCGCCTGAGCCAAGATGAAGAAGGAGACTAAAGGACAACTAGTTTTAGTATACATAGAAGTTTTTAGAAGTAGAAGTAGGAACCCTTATAGATTCAGGGGCTACCCGCAGTTATATTAGCCATAGAGCATTGAAGAAGCTGAGGCTAGGGCTGAAAGTCCAGAAGTTAGAAGACCCCATAGTGAGTGTCCTCGCAGACAACCGCACTATGCGTGTCGAGGACTACGTAGAGGGAGTCCAGGCGTATTTCCGCCTAGAGAAAGATGGGAAGGTGGAGAAAGTTCTCCATTCCTTGACCCTCCTCGTACAAGACGACCTTCCTTTTGATATAGTCCTAGGTATGGACTGGGGAGAGGCAGCAGGGGCCACACTCCATCTGAGAGAACATGAGTGTAGGCTCCCTAGTCCATCAGGCGAGGTTAAGAGTGCCCGTCTGTTCCATGTGTCAGGTGTAAACAATACCCTGGCACATTGCTGTCTCAGTGCTCCTGCGTTCGCACGATTAGTGAAAAAGGAGAACTTAGAGGAACAGGTCTTCGTAGTTTACATTAGACCTGTCACTGAGCCTAAGGAGGAGAAGCCCATTGACCCAGCTATTGCCAAGCTGCTGGACGAGTTCAAGGATTTAGCTGAGACACCAACAGGAGTAGTACCGCGGCCAATCCAGCATCGTATCGAGATAGAGCCTGGCAGTAGGACTCCCAAAGGAGCGGTGTATAGGATGTCCCCACGGGAGTTCGAGGACCTACGCAAGCAGTTAGACGAGCTCCTAGAGAAGGGTGGGATTAGGCCCAGTTCATCTCCATTTGGAGCACCTGTTCTATTTGTCCCCAAAAAGGAGGGAGAGCTCAGAATTTGTATCGACTATAGGGGTCTTAATGCTATCACAGTGAAGAATGCAGAGCCGCTGCCCCGTATAGATGATCTTTTAGACCGGGTGCAGGGATGCAAGTATTTTTCAAAGATAGATTTGAAGTCCGGATATCATCAGATAGAGGTCCATCCTGATGATTCGTATAAGACTGCATTTCGGACTAGGTATGGGCACTACGAGTTTATAGTTATGCCCTTTGGACTAACCAACGCGCCAGCGACCTTTCAACATTGTATGAATGACCTATTTAGGTCGTGGTTAGATAGATTTGTAGTAGTGTACTTAGATGATATTTTGGTATTCAGCAAGACCCTCCAAGAGCATCAAGGTCATTTGAGGCAGGTCTCGGAGAAGCTGAGAGAAGCCAACTTCAAGATCAACCCGAAGAAGTGCGAATGGGCAAAGACCCAAGTTTTGTACTTGAGCCACATCTTAGACGGAGACCGCATTAAGCCAGAGGATAGCAAAATCGCAGCGATTAGGGATTGGCCTACGCCCCGCACGCTGACAGAGTTGCGATCGGTCTTAGGCCTAGCGAATCACTACAGGAAGTTTGTGAGAAACTTCTCTACCATCGCTGCACCCCTTCGCAGATTGCTAAAGAAAGAAACAATCTGGAAGTGGAATAAGGATTGCACGTCTGCCATGAAGAAATTGAAGCAGGCGTTGATAGAGTATCCAGTCCTTAAGGTCGCCGATTCGTCCTTACCTTTCGTTGTTACCACTGACGTGAGCCAGTATGGCATAGGTGTTGTACTACAGCAAGACGATGGCAGTGGGTATAGACCCGTAGAGTTCATGTAGTTGCGACATCCACCTACGAGAGGGAACTTTACGCTCTCAGGCAAGCACTAGAACACTGGAAGCACTAAGGTGGCTGAAGACGGAGGCCAAGATGACACCTAAGTTAACCAGGTGGACCGCCGAGATAGACCAGTACGACTTTGAGCTCAAGCCAGTTAAGGGCAAGTACAATGTAGTTGCGGATGCTCTAAGTAGGAGGTCAGACTACTTTGGGGCGATAGTCCATTATCTGGATATAGGGAAGGACCTGCAACAGAAAGTTAGAGAGGCATATGTGCAAGATCCTATCTATAGCGACCTTCTTAAGAGAGTAAAGGAGGCCCCAGAGACTGAACCACATTACCGCACCACAGAGGGTTTGTTATTTGAGAAGCCTGGTGTAGTAGACCGCTTGTGCGTCCCCAACAGTGAAGAAACTCGTAGCCTGATCTTAGGGGAGTGTCACGATACAGAGGGACACTTCGGTTGGGAAAAGACTCTAGCCAATCTGATGCGCGCATATACTTGGCCAGGGATGAAGGCCGACTACATAGAGTACGTCCGCAGTTGTAAGGTCTGCCAAAGGAATAAGACTATGACGCGTGCCCCTCTAGGTCTTCTCAGACCCCTGCCTATTCCAGACCAGCCAGGAGATTCAATGTCCATTGATTTCATGGACACCGGCGTCAAGAGTAGGCATAGTAAGAGCCAAGTCATGGTCATAGTAGATAGATTTAGCAAATATGCAGTTTTTGTTCCATTGCCTGTGGAGGCACGTACAGAGTTAGTAGTTCAGAAGTTTTTTGATTATTGGGTCAGTGAACACGGGATTCCGCTGTCTATAGTTAGCGATAGAGACACCCGGTTCACTAGTCAGAACTGGCAGGAGTTGATGAGAGTATATGGCTCCAAGCTGTTGATGTCATCTGGCTGTCATCCAGAGACTAATGGTCAGACGGAGCAAATGAATAAGCTCCTACAGCAAGTTCTGAGAATGTACATTAGACCTGATCAGACTAACTGGGATGAGATGCTTCCAAAGGTAGCCAGTGCCTACAATAACAGCGTGCACCTGTCCACATGTCGCACTCCCAACGAGTTACACAAGTCCTTTAGACCACGCAGACCGTTTGAGGGACTTAACCGGGACCAGATTCATAGGCTACCCCGCCCGGTACTAGGGAGTTTGCGTTGCAGCACGAGGAGTTAGCTACCGTGGTAGAAAACCTCAGGAAGGCCCAGCATAGGATGATAGAACAAGCCAATAAGCATCGTCGCCCGTCACAGTTTCAAGTAGGCTACTTAGTCTGGGTCAAGTCTTAAGGAGTTTGCTCCTGAGGAGAATATCTCGCAAAAGCTATTGCCCGCGTATAGAGGACCGTGGCCAGTTCTAGAAGTTAAGGGCGGAGAGGATGGGCCGTCCTATACAGTAGAGATTCCAGCGCACCTCCACACCTACCCCGTATTTCATGCATCAAAGTTATTGCCGTGTGTCACAAGTCAACAGTTTCCCTCCAGAAGGTCCATGATCCCTCCGGATATGGATGGGAGATACGACATTGACGGCATTGTAGGTGAAGATATATTCAGGACAGGAGGTAAAGGTCGTCCTCAGAAACAGTACAAGGTTCGATCCGCATATCAGGAACCGGAAGACGACCGCTGGTTTGCCAGAACTGAACTTCTAGAAACAGCTCCCGACATAGTCAGGGCCTACGAAAGAGATAGGAAAGGTAAAGGTCCTGCCTTGGACTGAGATATTCTCGNAATAGATCCGTTATATCCCCTTCTTGACTTTCTTTGGCTTTCTTCGGGGTACCCCTTCAATTGTTATTGCAGCTCTCTTTTCACTGTGCCTCTCACCCACAAGGCTGGCCACGTTGATTCTGGTTGAGCGCCAGCTGCCCACGTCCCCGTGTGCCTTAATGGCCAACTTGCACGCTTTTATGAAAGGCGTCAGAGTGAAGGGGGAGGCATACTCCTGTTCATTTTCTTCACATTTTCAGCTTATATTTTGTCTGTTCTCTTAATGATGCTCATTCACAGCACTCGAGAGGAGGGACGAAGGAAAGGGGGAAGTGATGGACAGGGGAGGGAAGGGGTAGAGGAGGGAAGTGGAGGGGCAAAGACAGAACAGAGGAAAGGCACTTTACAGGTTTCTCACCGGAAGCAGACTACTCAAGAATAGCACAAGAGAGAGAGAGAGAGAGAGAGAGAGAGAGAGAGAGAGAGAGAGAGAGAGAGAGAGAGAGAGAGAGAATTCATGTTTACTGCTGTCTTCTGTTGTGTCGACTTTTTGCAGTTCATCATTCTTGGCACAGAGTCTGTCGGGAGAAAATTAATGTGGTCTGAAAATGCATCTGCTTTTTGTATTGGAGACATGTCAGAGGACATTGAGGAGAGGGAATCTCCAGGGGGGGGCTCTAGCAAGGGTTTGGGGGTGGGTAACTACTCCATGGCCTGCAATTTCCGACATTTTAGCCATGGGAATGCCAAGGATGGTGAATTCTTATTGGCCAGACAACACTTTGACTGGCAACACAAGGGCAATGTGTTTTGTTTGCACCCAGAAGTTCAGAAACAAGCTCCTGTATTCACAACCGTAGTCTTGGAGAAATTTGCTTCAGCAACAGCCAAAAGAACAGTTTGTATTGTGCTGTTAGGACACATCAATACTGATAACATTTAGATTGCCTGAGATTCTGTTTCCTCCTCGTGTACTTCCCTCGCTAGCCAGGCTCGACTTTTGGGATGTTGATCCCCATACCCGTTGACTGCCAGGGCGGATATGTCTGACACATCTCGAAAATAACTGTGCATGATTGTTGTGGCACAAATATGATACCATCCGCCCCCTCCCCTCTCCCTCCCTGAGACAGGGCCTTATGGTCCTGGCTCCGATCTATTTGGGAGAGCAGCACTCCTGTTCCTCTTTGTCAGCGAGTGAAACGGTTTTCACCTTTGCAGAGGCAGATGCAGATCCCGGGGTTTGATCCCCAGACCTTACCTCACCCATGTACAGTATCGAGTGGACCCTTGAGTGTTTGAACCCGTGACCTGTGTTTCGTGAGTTGTTGTTTCTCTGTCATAGGACTGTGTGGACATAGGGATTCGATCTGTAGACCTGTCGAGTAGAGGTCTTAGAGAGTTCCAGAAGTCGTAGCTGTAGATGTCCTGAAGGGTCAAAGTAGTAGCTGCTACAGTCCTGAGAGGTCAAGGTCGTAGCTGCTACAGTCCCGAAAGGCCAAGTCCACAGACTTCCGGAAGGTCCGGAAGTGGCCTTTCGCAGCTTGCTCACGTTTTAGACCGAGGCAAGTGGGCAAGTGGGCAAGTGGGCAAGTGGTGGACCAACTGCAGTACGTTCGTAGTACGATAGCGGTAGGTTAGCAGTGCGTCCCCAGGCAGTCAGCGGTACGGTCCAGTCAGTCCCAGTCCAGTCCAGCAAGTACCATGAGGGACTGTGTGTACCATGGGCCGATGGAAAGGGGCAGACCAACGAGTTACAGAAGTATAAATCAAGAGGCAGCGCACAGCCATTCATTCATTCCTGCGGAAGCCATGCRGAAGCGCTGCCACGGTGACTTGTGCGAGGTGATCTGCCGAGGAGCCTGAAGTCGAAGTGGGCTAGAGGGAGTTAGCGCAGCCATAGCTGCTTGTAGAGTAGAGTTAGCTGGCGGCCATAGCTGCCGTAGCTAGTGATAGGTGTGCATTGGTGTTTGTGCAGAGTGTGTGCGTGGGGTATCCAGGGTGATCCGGAGTTGAAGTGTGAAGTGAACAGTGGTGTTCGACACAGTGACAAGAGTTGCGATGTGTGGGTGCTGATGCACCATAGCCTGTTGAAGCGAGTTTGCATCTGAACTGTGTCTTTTTATTTTTCAAAAATGAAAAGGTCCTCGCGGACTTTCAACTCTGATTTCCAGAACCCATGTTCAAGAAACCACTCAGACCGTAGATCAGGAATTACTAAACAGAAACAACAAATCGACAATCAATTGAGAGCACAAATTGCTCAGACAGTAATCAGGAAATACTAAGCCGAAACAGATGGTTTCCATATCTTCGAGATTTGAGTTGGGCGCTATGCGCCAGTGTGATTCACCATCTGTTTGTATGCATGTGAAGCGACGAAGTATGCGAGTCTGATTGCACGAGTCTCAGACTCCTGTGCTTCATTTCATTGCGCCCAAAGGAACCCCAGAACAGCATTGACTGCTCATGCTATGGGGGATTAATTATCTTGTCGCCTTCGTTGTGTTCTCACAATCCGTTTTCGCAAAAGCTGTTGTTATCCTCTTCCCTCTCCGCTTCCTTTCGACTGAGTTGTGCAAGGGCCTCCAACTGAGATGATTGCTGTACTCCCTTTCAGCAAGCAGTCTGAGAAAACAATGTTCAATGCTTTGTCTGGTGTCTCTGTTAGCTTGGACCTGATTCCTTCCATTTCTAACGTGCCTGTCTCCCAGGGACCTTTTTCAGCGCCCCAGAGTGCTTTGCTTTCAACCTCGTACCCGTTGATTGGCCTCCACCTGCTTGTCCAAATCACCCAGAGGGTAGCCTTTCTCACAATATTGAGCGAACAGTTTTCAAGCTGTACAAACCAGAGGGTAGCCTTTCTCACAATATTCAGCAAACACGAATGTGAGTTTGAAAGTTGTAGAAACCAGAGGGTAGCCTTTCTCACAATATTGAGCAAAGTTCAGCAAACACGAATGCGAGTTTTAAAGTTGTAGAAATGCACGGAATATACTCAAAGATGGATCACACAGTCGTCACATGTTCTGGACTGCAAAACTACCCTCCTGCTGATGGGTCTTTGCCCCAGTTGATGTCTTGTATCTCTATTATTTGCTGCAGCTGCTATGTTATGTGTTGAATTGCCTCCCTCTCTTCGACGAGTCCGAGGGACATCGATATGCATGTTTAACAATATAAGATTCTCCTTCAGAGTGAATGGGCGTCTGATGATTGAGGGCAACATTGGATGTATGGCATGGATGTTGAAGAATGCACCTTGATGCCCATGGAGTTTTTATGGTCCGTGTTTATCCCTCCGAACTGTGCGTGCAAGATTTCCAAGCACACGGCTCTCCATCAGTTTGGCAAGACTATTGACTGTTTCCCATCCATTTTATAAAGGGAATAGGCAAATGACTGTTGAGGCAACGTTTTATGCATAGCATAGAAGGAGAAGAACATGCCTTGGTGCTGATGCACTCGATGTGTGTCTGTTCTTGTTTGTATATATGGGCTTTACTACACTATTTGTACAGGTGGTGGTTGACTTTTGTAAGAATCATCTAAGCATGAATACTGAGACATTTTCAAATCCCCGCCTTGAGGTGATTATCAATGATGCAAGGTATGTCACATGCAACAGCTGGTCTCAAATAGAGCGATCTCAGAGCTGTCTATTTGCATGCAATCAGAGCAGCATAGCAGCCTAGCCGACGATTCTGAAGGCGACCATTCGGGCTGACCGGTTGGGAGAGGGTCATGGGCGCAGTATTTAAAAAATATAAGAAGTGGGCTGTACTGCGCATGCCGATCCGCTAAGAAACTTCGCCTTTTGGGTGGGCAGGGAGGGGGCCAGGGAGGAAGGGGGGGGGTCTTTGAAAACTAATTGAGGGGGAGTAGCTTGGACAGGGAATGTCTCTTGTCAATTGGGCTGCATGAGTTTGTAGGAGATGCAAAGGTGGCCCTATCAACTGTTCAGATCTTCAAAGTGAAAAACTCAACCCGCGTGGTATGTCGTGTATCCTTGATGCAGTAATCCACAATTTTGCAGCACCGACGAGTGTACCGTAATTGTAAACACCTGTTGTCCGTGTGGGTTGGTTTCATTTCTGCTTTGCCCAATTTGCTTCTTTATACAAGTGGACCTGCTGCGGCTACGCTTGCGGCGCAGGGCGGCATTCTTCTTCGAGGAGGCATGTGGACAGGAGAGCCAGGGGCTTTGCAGTGAATGAGGTGTTGAGCAGGGATTTTTTTTCTTCTTCTTCCCAACACTATTAAAATCGCTAACGTGACAAATCTGAAATCCTCAGTTGGTTAGGCATGCAAGTGGCATTCAGGAGGTTGTGGGTTCAAGCCCCATGACGGGCGCACTTAGTGCCAACGAACTGGGATAGTCCTCTGGACACTCCTGATCGGTATTAGTGTAATCTATGACCAACATGGGTGTGAGTGCGAGCGCGAGTGGGTTGTGTGTGGTGTGTGGGAGAGTGTTGGCCATAGCCACTGCTGCTACTCGACGAGGGGTGGGGGACGATGAGAAAGGGAGGCGCAGCTACTGGCAGGTCTCGGKCTTTGTGTTAGCCAGACCCCCACTGGCGGCCCCAACCCTATACCCTAAACATTAGGGGCAAGGGGCAACATGAAATCTCCCCTTACAGTGAGAGGAAACTATGCTTGCAGGGGTCCCCTCTATATAGCCTTAGGAGTAGGTAGTGAAAGGCAAAAACAGAAGTTGAGAGAAGAATAGAGTAAAAAAAAAAAAAAAAAATCTGAAATCCGGGCCATCGTCGGTCCTACCGGCCCACGGCCCAGATCGACCGAACCATGTAACAAATCTGCCATCTGGGCCATCGGGTCCTACCAGACCGACGGCCTGGATAGATGCGGTCTTATGATCTTAAGATCGCACATCAATCCAGGCCGTTGGCCCGGTACCTTGGGCCCGACGGCCCGGATTATTTACCTGTTGGAGAGGGTCGTGGTACCTATCTGTGGTTTCTTGGGGCGGTACCTACCGATGGGGTTTTGTGTTCGGGCAAAGGGGTTCCCATACGCTGCCCGTGATGTAACCTTTTTGTGGCGGCGTGTACCGTTTTTGGGTGGGGGCGTGGGCAAATTGTACGGTGTGGGAAAGACCCACCCCTATGCTACTCTACTCTGTACTATAGACTTCTACTTTCCTGTCCTATGCTACTACGCTCGACTTCGACTTTACTATTCTACACTACACTACCACGCTCGACTTCGACTTGGCATCTGGATACACACACACACACACACGACATCTGAGCAGACTGTCGGGGTTCAACCTCCTGATGAGTCGGTGGAAGTCCGACGAAACAGCCTCGCTTAGTCATGCCCACGCATGCAATCATAAGAGAGAGAGAGAGAGAGAGAGAGAGAGAGAGAGAGAGAGAGAGAGAGAGAGAGAGAGAGAGAGAGAAACACACCCAGACTGAGAGAGAGACATACACAAACACACCCAGACTGAACACACTACGCTTTTTTACGTGCCGGAGGTTGAGCTCCGCATCCTGAAGATTGGATGCTGACTGACGGTGAGTTAACTCCACTTTGTTATTGATGTCTGTTGCTTTCGTTTCTTTGTTCGCTTCAAACTACGAGCATGTGTGTGTGTGTGTGTGTGTGTGTGCGTGTGAGGGGGAGAGAGA